TCAGTCTCCCAGAGTCAGCAATTCAGTCTATTCCTGGTTCAAAATACAGAATCTCTCTGCCTCACTGTGATAAGACAGGGACAGAAGAAACTGCAACTCTTTTTCCCAGCAGAACACTGGAAGGGGACTGAGGGGTGAAAAATTTGCCTGTTCAGGCACTCTATCCCCTCACACCTGATACTGAAAATGAAAAAAATATATTATTGTATTTGCTAGTCTAAAGAAAGAATACTCTGATCCAAAGAAAAGTACTGAAAATAAAATGACAGCCTGAAACACCTCAACATATTCTAATACCTGAAGGTGTTAACCTCAGTTATGTCTTCTAGGCTCACCCAACTCCGTACTGAGAAGTCAGAAATAAAAAACATATATGTTGCAAAAGGACTGAAAAAAGTAAGATTTCAGCCTACTGTCAAGGAAGGAATGAGAAGCAAAATGACCATTTTACAGCTATTCTAACAACTCCTACAGCAATCAGGTTTGTACCCCTCCTTAAATATTGTTCATTGAGAGTCCCACAAATGCCTTAGAGGAGTTGCATTTTGATTTAAAAGTTGATGAATAAAGGTTAGCTAAGGATACAGCAGTGACAAGTATGGAATAAAGCTTGTTCTTTGTTAGAATTGAAGGTTTTTATTTCAGTTAACGATTTAATCGATAGAAATTCCTTAAAACTCATCTTAAAGTTCCTAGGCAATTAAAACTAGCCATATTACATGAAACGGGATAGAAAGAAGAAACTTGTGGGGTTCTGCAGGCTCTTCCTATTTTCCACCCCTGGTGCAACTCTGAGGACGTGTTTACACAGAACTTTACGTATCTTTATGACCATTACTTTGTTGCATAACACAGCACTGTCAGAACATTGGCTAAAGCTTCATCAGATGAAGAAAAGGCAGATCATTTTATAGCTATCGCACACCGAAAAAAAAGCTAGAGAAAGCTTTGATGCCTGCCTGGAATAACACAAAACCATTTGTAAATAAAATCCTATTAGAAACATCAGATCCTGGGGATTACTCATAATTGCTTAGCAGTTTTATTGAAACATAAGCCAGTACCGAGTTCATTTAAAACTCTATTTAAGAATGTCACCTACACTTAGAGATTTAAAGGCAAGAAATAACACAAAACCTGTCAGGAGAGAAGAAAGTGTCTTTTTTCAATGTTGTTAACATTCTTTGGCAAGTGACACATTAGACTTTTCTTGTACTAAGTATCTCTGCCTTCATTCTCTCCTTACCAAATGCTCTCCCTTAAATAAGCTGAAACACAGGAATGAAGTTAAGATGACATTCAAAGCACTATCCCTCTTTTCTTTCCAACCACCGAGCTATTCTGTGACCTGTGAGCATACACCTCCTTGTTATTTTAGTGTATTGATTTGTACGGAACTATTCCAAACACTTTTAAATACTTAAGGTAGAAAATGATGTGTGAAAACCGAAACGTTAATCACGAGCTTCCTTTTCGAAACACAGATGTGTTTCCATTATATCTGATCTTATATAAGTTATGTTCTTTCCATGAGCTGCAAATTGATACGCCAACACCCCCAGACACCCCAGTTTTATCCTTGAGATTTTACATTCTCTTAACTTTCTAATTAGTCCATATTACACAGACCACATACACGAAGCACACATGCGTTTGTTATACTGAGGAATTCCTTAGTCAAAAACAATATTCTTCATCTTTGGCTCTCTTACCTACCTTCTGAGAGACTTCTCAGATTTCTACGAAGGTCCAAATAGCTCATTTGACATCGGCCAATTCATGGATATGGGCCAAACATGTCAGTAAACTGCATGCAGTACACTATAAGGCATGCCACAGCATAGGTGTTTTTTTTGGCATGCAAATATGTGCCTATACTTCAAAAGGAAAAAGCACTGGAGAAAATAACCATCACCAGTATAGGCACCACCCGCATCCCCCATATATACTTAGTTTAAATGTAAAACAAAAAGCAGAAAAATAAAACCTTAAAGAACCACTTACATTAGTATTTTCTGCATTTAAAAAAAAAAAGAGAAAAAAAGAGAAAAAAAACAGCTTGAAAGTCTGGTGGTTCCTACCACAACAACATTAGATTTTTACAATCAGCTTGTGTAAGAAATTTCTCATTGGAAAAAATTTTCCTGTTACTATCACTCATTCTCCCATAGTTAGTTCATTGATAGCATTGGAGCTATTCCAAATATTCTTTATTGCTTAAGGTAAACAAAAGTGTCAGAAGCAGGTTCAGAGATAAAATCATGTAAGATGAGAAAAAAAACACAAGATGAGAAAAAAAAACATGAAGGTTTAAATAGAGATAGATAAGGAGTTAAACAGTGTGGAAGATCAAAAGATATAAATTTCTGAGAACAATGCATCGGATGCAAAATATCTCAACGGGAACTTTTATAGTGTACAAATGTCTACAGTTAAAGCAAAGACTTTGGCTGACTGTTTTGAAGATTATTTCATATCAGATTGAGTGTGGCTACCGATTCTAATCCCACAGCGCTATACAGAAGATGCTTGAACTGTCTTTCTGCCATCCACTTCTTTGCAACCAAATATTAGGTCTCTAATACTTCTGAAAGAACACCTAATTTAATAGTAAAAACTCAGTGTCTTAGACTCTGATACACTACCAATTTTTTTATTTATGATTTACATGAATTTAAATGTCATATTTACAATGTATTAATATTATTAACTGTGTTGAGTTTTAGTGGTACTTTTTTAATATTTTCTTAGCAAACAGACAAATATGTGACACATACCTCAAAACTGACAGGTATATTGCGCTTCAAAGCGATTTCAAACACTACACTGATCTCAGACTTGTTTGCGTCTTTATCTTCTTCTGATTCTTTACCTGTTTCTCCATTCTGAAAATGAAGAATACATAATTATATCACAGTTTTTAGAAGATAAAAAAATATAATATGCTTCTCCCATGATTTCTGAAAGACTTTTGAGTTCTCCTGTCATGCTGTAAATCAGTGTTTGCACATCCATCTCAGCACCCCATTCTCAGCCACTTGCTGACCGTCAAGCCACATATAACGCACTTCTGCTTCATAATAAAGGAACACATACACATTACTTTATAAACTAATGAGAGATGGCAAAATAACTTCTACGGATTTTAGTCTTATTAATGACATGGATAATAATAATCTGAATACACACTTCTTGTGTCAAGCATGAGGATCAAGTAGATCCTTCGACCTGTTTCTCAGTCTCTCTGTAGGTGCCTCTTCCAAGCAAGGAAGAAGTCTTCAGTAGTTCTTGGAAAGTACAGCAGACGGTACTTCTCTCAGAAGAAATTCAGTGAATCACCCCCACACTTTGACTGGGTCACCAGGTTACAGGTGTCCGCAGCAGGTCCAGCTGGTTAATGGCCCCTCCACCGACTTCCCTCTGGGAGTTATGACCAGTGTGAAAAGGTAGTGACAGAGAACAGCTTGCTCAACGCAGCACATTATTTATTTATCCATAGGAACATAACAAACAAGAGAGGCTAAGAGATAAAACAGCAAAAGGCACATGCAACCATTTTCCTGCCTAAAAAATTCAGCTTTGCTTGACGCTTTAGGTAAATCTTCTTTTTCTCAGACAACCACCAGCATGGGGATCAGTCAAAGGGCTATCGCCTTCTGCAACCGCTACCTTTTGGGTTTCACCCCCAGGCCACATCTTCCTTAGTTCTCAGAGGTTTCACTTTCAGCTACTTTCAAACTGCAAAGCTCTGAATGTTTCAAACTGGGATCTCTCAACAGCCATGTAACCTTGGCCAGGCTCCTAATTTTTTTATTAGCGGAGGTAAACATCAAAGAAACTCGGGCTGAATTAGGTGGATTCCTGCAGAGTTCCCATCTTACATAACAAAGTCTGATCTAAATCTTCAGCCACCAGCACAGCTACAAAATGCAGATACCCAAGTTATAAAATAACATTGAAAAAGCATCAGGTTCCTCACATCAACAACAAAATTTATCAATCTTTTATCTTCCATTTGTTAACTCTTAATATATTAATCTTTAAGATAACGCACGACCAAAAATCCAGCAGTCAGCTACAACACGCAGACTCATAGCACTTTTTGTCTCATTAAATGGATGCAAAATTTGGAGTGTGAAAAAGCAATTTACATCCCTGACATTGATCTGAAGCTAAATAGAAACCAGAAATTTCTAAAGTTTATAGAACCTGCTGAAAAAAACAGGGTGCAGTGCAAAGCAGTAACAAGAGTAGTTAGAATGAAACGATGTAGGACCTCTAGCTCATTTCATATAATGAAATGTAAAGTACCACCAAAATCATGAATGTAAGTCATTATTTCTAGGACAGCCAAAGCATTGACTAGGTTCACTGAGAAAGATCAACTGAACAGAGTTAAAAGGACAATATTTAAAAGTAAAAATATATTTTGGGGATATAGAGAGCATCAAACATAAAGAGAGGAGTACTCCTATTCTGTAAAGAACCTTAGTGAGAATCTTACTCAGTACTGTATTCAATTAAGCTTGTGTTTTATAAAGGACACTGATAATCTGAAAAGCTGACAAAAAAAGCCACAAGAATGAACTACTGATTAGAAAACACAACTTTACACTGAGACATTACGGAAACCATCACTTCTATAAAAAGACTGAAAATTACTTAAGCATAATCTGCAAATGTACGTGGGAGAGAGATTTTTGATATCTGTTGGTTACATTTAGCAAAGATAAGAAAATGTCAATTAGACAGAAAATGAAGCTAAGTGAATTTAGAAGAAATACCTTGCAAATTATCTTTGAAATGGGGAATAATCAATCACGAGCATAATTTACACAAAATAATATAAAGCCCACTGGACTGTCACCAAGCCTTTAAGTCAAGAACGTTTAGGTTTTCTAACTATAGTCTAGCTTAACCAGACATGTAGAGTCTAATGTAGAAATTACTGGTTAAAATTTCATGATTAATACATATACATCGGTCCAGAAAATCCCCAATTGTCCCTTCTGCCCTTACAATTTAACTCCTTGCATATTTTTCCACCAAACACAGCAGAGAGTCTAACCATGAGTGTGGAGAATAGGGAGGATCATAGACTTTAAAGGTTTAGTCCTTAGTACTGAGCAATAAAGTTTCAAGCCTTAGTCATATGACTTCCCTAAGGAAGATAAAAGATGTTCAGGAGTGTCTAAGGTACTTTGGATTTAAATTTGATCCTCATTCCACAATGGACACTTTCATTGTAAGGCCTTTCTTAGCCCCACATCTACGAGACAGCAGAGGTGCTTTGGCAGACACACAATCGCTCTCTTGTGAAAGCAGGTTCATGGTCACCTGTAACCTTGCCCTGGTCGCTGACTGCTGCTCACTTCTGCTCACCTTACGCTCT